GGACAATAGGCATTTTGAGTAGCTATAGAATTGCTGATGCAGGCTCAAAGGCTATTTCATTTTTTCCATTAAATTCAGTAATAAAATGATGAGCCAAGGAAAAAGGAGAGCTAAGGAAATACACTCCAAGTGCAGTTTTGTTATTACTCTCCCATTGGCTTTATCTCATTTGTAAATCAAGGAGAGTATTGTATTAGCGCCACATCTAAAGGATACATTCCTGTATATAATGTTTTTATTGCTAATATTCTTGAGTTTTCTATGCCATTTCATAGGGTTATAAGATGACCAAGTAAGTGGCAGAAAATTTCATACTGTTACTGATCACAGTATGAAAGAAAACAATAAAAATACCAAGAATACATGGTACTGGATGACATCTTTATAGCATGGCTAATAAAGATGATTTGAAACAGTCATTGACTTTGTCTATGTCCAGAACCTAGAGTAAATATATAATTTAATCTTAGTCTCTGAGTTAAAGGGATTTTTTTTTAAGTGTCGTGACATTGTGTTGTTAAAGATAAGGCCTTCCCCAGCTTTCAGATTTTAAAGCTCAGTTATTAAATTTGGCTTCATGGTGAAATGTGGTGAGGTAAATGGAAGTGATTGAGAGATTGGGGATGAAAGTTGGATCTCTGGTTACAGAACTGAAGGAAGAAATCAAAGTCTGGAGCAAGATAAAGTTGTGGCATCATGCACTATTCAGTAAACATGACCTTCAAATTGTAACCCCAACTGTCTGTCCCTGAATATATTTTGTGAGACCCTTTGACTTTATATTAGCACTCAGGTGGAATGATTACCTGGGATTCATATGGAATTTTCAACAGATAAAATAATATATTCAATTTTGTTCATCTGCTATTTATTAAATATTTAATACCTATCCAATATAGATTTTTTTATGACAGGAAACCATAAATGTCCAGTCCATAAAGAAAACAAACCAATCTGCTATATAGAAGCACATTTTTGCCTAGTGAATAAATTCTATTCTTAAAGGTACCATAAAAAAAGAGTATTTTACAGAAAATTTTATTCAGTGTTTTAGGGTATTTAAAGAAACAAAAGCATCATAGCTGGAGGATTTCTCTTAATGAAATATACAATTTTTGTATATTCTATAAAAATAATTCACCATATTTTACTACCACTAAGGTTTATGGTCATATTATATAACGTACCTTGAACCAACCTAAAGCATAATAATAAATAAACTCTGTATGAATACAGGACATATTTGTCACCGAAAAATGTGACAAAGCTTAAGCACTATAGATTGCTTTGAGAACAATTGACTGAGAGGAGAAAAGTGATAGAGGTGATGGACATTTGGAGGCAAAGTATCTTTGTTTTAGTTTGTTTGGTTTGGAGGAGGGACTAAATGATAGACGATATCCCTCCTGGGTGGGTGGATGTGCACTCCAACATGGAAGCTCTCTGAACCCCATCCTGTTGGGGTTTTTATGCAGGCTTCATCAGGTAGGCAGGATTGATCATTTACGCCATTTTCAGCCCCTCTCCTTTCTTTAGAGAAGTGGGGATGGTGGGGACTGGACATTCCAAACTTCTAATGATGGCTTGGTCTTTCTGATGACCCCATTCAGGAGCCATCGAGGAGCCCAACCAGAGTCACTTCCTTAAAACAAAAGGTGCTTCTAGTGCCCTTATCACTTAGAAATTTACAAGTGGGAGATGGGAGTGGGGTGGGGGAAAGAGGACAGAGACATCCTATATAATAAAAGGCTAATATGCAAATAGACCAAACGGCAGAGCAACCGAACAACCAAACAACCAGTTGCTATCATGTGAGCTGACCACCAGGGGACATGTGCAGAACATGGTGGTGTTGGCCGCATTGGATGGTGGAGCAGATGAGCGGGGGCACTGGACCAAGGCCAGAGCCGTCGCTCGCACCCACTGCCAGTGCCCGGAGCCAGTCCTGATCACTTGGCGCCATCAGCGGGTGAGAGCGGCAGCTGCCTGCCCTGATCTCCCTTGAGAGCCTCTCCACCCCCCCTTGCTCCTGGGGGGGGTGATCAGGGCAGCAGCTGCTGCTCGCACCTGCTGAGAGCGCCGGCCCCGCTCACACCCACTGCTGGCGCCGGCCCCAATCACTCCATGCCATCAGTGGGTGCAAGTGGGGCTGGTGCCGTCAGCGTGTGGGAGCAGCAGCAGTGGGAGCTGGGCTGCCTGCAGACAGGGGCCTGGGGGCCACAGTGGGAGGGGCCGGGCAGGGGCGCAGAGGATGGGCCGAGACCTGCCCCTGTGCCTACCGCAGCCACATGGCCCACAGTTCCTTTCAAAGTGCACAAATTCGTGTACTGGGCCCTAG